ACATATTACCCTCCCCAGACCCCACTTGTGGGATTACACTGGGTTGTTGTTGTTGTTGTTGAGCCGAGGGTCTTCGTTGTTGTTGTTATAGACACACAAATGACATAACATATTTAATGCAACAAGTTTTAGTAATCTTTTTAAAAGTTGTTTCATAATTCATCTATACTATATTAAAAGCACGAAGGCCCTTAGCGAAATGTCGTTAGCCTTTTTTACCATTTAAGAATTAATTTTGCACTAGACAAAATAGTCATTTAACTCATTTTCCTAATATTTAGGACTTGAAAATTAATTACTATATTTTAAGTATTAAATCATTCCTTATTTAAATTGGGTAGAAAATCCTAAAATTTGGGACTTTAAAATTAATTTAATTTTTACCTTATATTAATCACTTAAAAACAAAAACACCAACATTTCCTTTCATTAACAAGAGATATATTACCTATTATATATTTTCTTAATTCTAAAATATCAGTAAAATACTACTACCAATGAATTAATATTTTCCTAGAATAGATTATTGAAACTTAAAACTAACGGGTTTTTTTTGTCTTAATTATAAATAAACAAAAACTGTAGTCCTTGGAGTATGTATCAAGTAGTATAAGAAATTATTTATTGAATAGACAATTAATTATTTCTTAATATTTAACAGTTAAATGAATTAAAATTTTATGCATTAAAATCTTTCTTATTTGAATTATGCAGAAAGTTCTACCATTTACAACTTTAAAACTGTTTAGAGTTTACTTTATACAAATCTATGTTTAGGAGTTTAAAATTAATTAAAATTTTACTTATTAATTTTTTTCTTATTTAAATTATGTAAAAAGTCCAAAACCCTTAAAAATATTAAGAGTTTATTTTATGTAAATCTTACACTTAAAAACTTATACTATATTAAAAGTACAAAGGCCCTTGCGAAATGTGTTCGTCTTTTTTATCCTTTTAAAATTAGAGTTCACCTAGACAAAAAAGTTATTTAATTATCTCCCTAAGATTTAGGACCTTTAAATTAACTAATTTTTTGAAGAATTTAAAATAAACTATATAACCATATTCTATTTACCAACGCCATATCTTTTAGACAAGATAATTACTTTTGCTGTCTTTGAATTTTGATACAAAGTTAGAAAGATTCTAAGTCTATATGAACGAACACTATGTATCTTGATTACAAAAAATAAATATTACCACCATGTAAGAAATAGACATATAGATTTCAAGGGAGAAAAAAGACTCAACCCGAGAAAAAAATCAGAACATATTTTAAATCTTTAAATCTCTTTATTATATAAAAATAATTTATTTTCTACATAAAATATTTATTTTAGAATGTTGACAAATTAAATTAGGTTTTATTTATTATTCTTCATGGAAATGGAAAACTAATTATACTTACTTATAATCTATAGTCGTAATAAATATTGTTTACTAAACCTTCCTCTACATTAGAAAAATCAATTCTTTAAATATATAATTCTCTACTATATACCACGTAATTTTTTATATTTAGCAAGTATTTTAAATTTGTAATATCTTTTGTTATAAAAAGTAGCTTACCTTCAATTTTCTACATAAATATTTGTGTTAGAATCTTGAAGATAAATTAATTGTGAAAAAGTTACCATTTATTTTAAAGCTTCATTATTTTTTGTATTCATTATTTGATAATTAATAAAAAAATATTATTATTTCCTTTTAGGGTGATTTTAGGAATGCACTATATCTCCTTTTAAAAAATTTAAGTTATTATTCAATTTTTCAAGCTTTTAATATTTTTAAGAAAAATAGTAACTATTTAATTAATATTATTGGATGAAGATCTAAGAAAATTTGTTTAAAGAACAACTTCCTGAAGACTGGCCTAATTAGGTGACTGAAATTTTATGAAAAATTACATTATTTAGTAGATATATTTGGGAATGTAGTGACACATCTACTGAATAAACAATAAGGTTAAATATTTATATCCAGTAGTTAACGTTTATAATATTTTGATGAAATAAAAATTTTGACAAATTGTGACGTAATATAATACTATCATTGGTCTAATTGATAGTCGAAATTTGTATTACTTGTATTCCAAAGAGATGTTAGACGAGATACAACAGCATGACATATTTATTTCTTATTTCACAAGATATTATATTATATAACTAATTCAACTATATTCATCATCTTTGTATGTTAAGAAGATATTGTTTCAATGTATACAATAATTTATTTATTTATTTTATATATTTTATATTGAATGACGNTATTCCAAAGAGATGTTAGACGAGATACAACAGCATGACATATTTATTTCTTATTTCACAAGATATTATATTATATAACTAATTCAACTATATTCATCATCTTTGTATGTTAAGAAGATATTGTTTCAATGTATACAATAATTTGGCTAGAGCTAGTATAAATTAAAATGGCTAGAGTACTTTTTATTTCACCTTGTTATATTGAGTAACATAGTTATTAAGGTGTCACCTTTAAAAATATCATTTTCTCCCTTCTTTCTTTTCCGTTCTTCTGTTCTTTTTAAACGAAGAAATCCACTTTTCAATTTACTGGTATATCTTCATACAAAGTAGGGAAAACGAACAAGAAGCAAAATATTATTTGACCTGTTAAAATTAACCACTTTTTGATTCATTTCTAGTTGACGAGATTCGCCAGTTCAAACTTCTCCAAAAAGCTCAGAGTTCGGATTTCTCGCTTTCCCGGCGACTGCTCCGTCGCCTGTTCTCCTTTTCTGGCTATTCTCCCGCCGTAAAACTCTTCTCTCATTTACTGCTAAATTCATTATTATGTTTACTCTTTCACCATTCAGTCCAGATATCAGTTCAATATAATGTCTGTGTACGATTTTTTAGATCATCAACAGTTCAGTAAACACTGAAGAAGCTTACGATCAGTTTAATTTCTTTAACCTTTTTCTCAGTAGAAGTTGGAACTGCGACATTTTCTAGGTTGTTGTTTAATTTTAATCCTATTTTTGTTTATTTATGGTTTATAATGAGCTAATGTACCAGTTGGTTCAGTTAATATTGTTGATCAATTAATTTTTCTTTTTTTTTTTTGTATTTTGCTGTTGAAATTACAGTTTTTTTTTACAGACGGTGGTGTCGGACTAGCTTGCGCGGATTTGGACTATTCCACCGGATATCTTCTCCTCCCACCACCACAGGTACCGGATAACCCTATCCACCAAAGCTGGGAAGAAATTACATAGTATTTTTCGTTTCCAGTTGGATTTGAACCTGATACATCGTGGTTCTTCTGTCTCTTCATTGATCACTAGGCAACTGCAGCTTTTTTGTAACAATTTATGAGTAGCTACACAACTCATTCCATCTGTCCATCATGTAACATTAAGCAAACTCAACAAAACTCAAATAGAAATACCTGCCATAACCGCCACAATCACATAGTCAGCTGCTACTCTACAAACCCGATGGTAGAAAGTATCCCATATAACTATAACTCTTCCAGGTGACACACCCGTATGATGCCTTGTTTTGTATAAGCAAATCTGACCCGCCGTAGAATACACATCATTTACGGTTCTACCAGTAGACACCTAAACTGATTCCACATTCTTCTGAAGTAGTAATAAGCCTTCCACAAGCCAACAAAGACCTATTCTAACTCTCACTTATAAACACACAACTGCGGACATATATATGCAAATCCGTTTCAACCCAGTCACCAACTACACCACTTGTGATCAGCTAGATAAGCTAAAACCCCGGGTAACCTAATGCATTGAATATACGAATCCTTAAATCTCTATAGTCTTTAGTTAACTTGTCCATTATCCCGATACACAAAAATAATGCCAACAACCTCTTAAACCATACTGCTCAAATCAAGATCCCCGAGAAGGATATATTACTACACCTAAGCAGATCACAACATACCAAATACTATAATCCACAAGCTTGAATAAGCACAAATCTTCTCGAGTCGCCCACCGAAGATGCCTACAACCAACTTTCTGACTATTGACCATTACCAAAGTGATAGTGTCACCTCTAGAAATCCAATCTCTAAACTCCAAAAGTTCAAGATTCCTCATCCTAATGAACATGCCTTCTCAAACACAACTCTGAAGTAACACCTGCCAGCATCTCCAAAACCCCCATATCCACAGATCCTTCTATGTCAGGCAGCTAAAATCTGAACCTCAATGACTGACCATCACATAATTGCCGTAACGCTTAGTCGAATTATCCATAGATCCCATGTGTAAGCATCCTCTACAACACATTCCCTTTCTTGGTGATACTTGATGGTGTGCCACATGGGTACTTTCCAGCTTCTCGAGGGCTGCGACAAGGGTTCCAAATCAAGCCTGTTGATTTTAGCTGGTCACTACGAGCTGGACTCGTCGTGAAACTCACTTGTTCTTAGAGAAATGATGTGTGCTAGCCTTCCCTACCATCTGCCTATCCGCTTCCAGAGCTTATTCTTTATCAACTACATATAGTACAAAGGAAAAGACAAGGCTGCTCCCAGATCGACAGGGGGTTCATTGCTTTGATTCATTTTCTTTTCTTTTTCCGCTCCCCTGGAAAAGACTTATCGAAAATCGCCGGTGTTGGCCCGGAAAGAAATGGGACTTTTTGGGCGTAAAAGTGCTTCTCTTACGATATTTCGATTTAGATGAAAAGAGTAAAGTTACAATATCATATATGTTGTTCGAAACTCTGTACTACTATGCCCCTTAAGCAACTCAAATTATCTGCGCTAACTCAAAGCTGTTTAATTTTAATCCCTTTTTTTTTGGTATCATGTTTATGGTTTTTAATGAGCTAATGCAGCAGCTGGTTCAGTTAATTTTAATTTTTTTTTTTTTTGCGGTTGGAACTACATTTTTTTTCTTGCGCGGACCACGACTATTCCACCAGATATCTGCTCCTCCCACCACCATAGGTATGGATACCGTTGCCCATTAAGACTTAGGATGAGAAGAAATCACCTAGTATTTTTTGTTTGCGCTTGGATTTGAACATGAGACCTCGTGATTCTTCTCTCTCTTCATTGATCACTAAGCCACACCCTTGGGTGCGAAACTGCAGCTTTTTTTGTCAGCGATTGTGTCGTAAGCTACAATTTCATATTCTTCCATTTTATATGTACGCATAAAAGCTGATAAGGTAGTCCTTATGTGTGAGTTCGAGCCTGTTTTGAAGACTCTCTAGATAATTTAATTTAAATACAGTAAAATGTTCTACAATTTTTTTAATTGTTTATTTATTCATTTTGCCTATGACTACATTGATAGGTCTTCACAAGCTAGTGGTATAGTTGGTTCAGTTACAGAAGTGACTCCGTCTGTCGGGTGAGAAGTGAGAGATGAAGAAAGTCAAGAGAAAGCTTGGGAAGTATGAGCTTGGCAGAACTATCGGCGAAGGTGCTTTTTCCAAAGTTAAGTTCGCGCAGAACACTGAGACTGGCGAGAATGTTGCCATCAAAGTCTTGGCGAAAAGCACCATTCTCAAGAACAAAATGGTTGAGCAGGTATTACAATATACTTTCTTTCCTTATATTAGGTCTAAGTTTGAGTTTATTGCCTTTAAAGATCAGAATTTGAGAAAGCAAAGTTTTTTCAGAATTGACAAATCAATCTTTTCAAAGCCAAGTTTAGATTCATGAATCTACTTTGTCAATCTTGAGTTAACTGCTTGATGATGTGATATATATATGCTCCTACTTGTGTGATAATGTGGAGCAGTAGTGATGATTTAGTCCACAGCTGTACTACTAAGTTGACACTTAACATCATAGAAGTAGTACAAGCTTCATTGCCGTGATGTGGGAATGTGCTTACCATCCTTACTAACTCCACTTGCTGAGCTTTATTTATGTTTGTGGGTAGTATCCATCTATCTTGAATAATAGTGGTCAAACGGCAGTAACCCGTCTCCCAGGAAGCGGATGGATCCTAAGTCTGTGCGTTAGTTGTTTGACTAACTTGAGGTACTTAAGAAGTAAAGCATTTGCTGTATCATTTTCTTTTTGACTATCTATGTTTCGTTAAAGATGATTATCTGGCTATGATGACTTAAGATCTTGGAGTTTTCTCCTCGTTCTTCATATTTTGCCTCTTTTTCAGGTCAATCTCTTGACTTCTTTGGTCTGGTTTTGCAGATCAAAAGAGAGATATCTATAATGAAAATTGTCAGACATCCTTGCATAGTTCGGCTTCACGAGGTAAAATAATCCGAGAAGCTTAGTATGAGTACAACTCTTTCTCTATCTCTCCCTTTCCCCATCTGTCTGTAGTATGTTAAATTAGTAGTTTCATTTTCTTAATTTTTCTATTGAGATGTTTATTGCTTTTGCATATTCATTTATAGGTTTTAGCTAGTCGGACAAAAATATATATCATTATGGAGTTTGTCACTGGAGGAGAGCTTTTTGACAAAATTGTAAGATATTTCCAGCATTTTTAATATATATCGACTGAATATCTACTCCTGGCTTGGTATTAGTTATTCTTACTGTTTAACAATATTATAACTTGGTACATTTTTGTTGGATAATGCTTCATGATCTATGAGTAAATGCTATTTTCGAATCTAGATTGATGTAGATTTTGGGAGTTAATCAATCAACAGAGTGAATCCTAATCTGTAGTTACAAAGTAAAGATTCCGGGATTCATCTTCCTAAGAGAAAATAATAGAGGCACGAATCCATTATCATGATCTTCATAAAAGCTATTTGACAAGCTACCCATAGATAGATCTTTCTTCTGTGTTAGCATGCACACATGCGCTTCTGTTGTTTCAATAAAAAGGTTCCGGGATCCCTACTCTAACAACTAAAAGTTTTTGAGATTGTGATACGTTTTCTATAGTTAAGGCAAAGGTCCATCTTCAAGAGTTTATACTAGCTTCATCTTACCACTCTAGTTTTTGCCTTGGGTTAATGAGTGGAAATGATCAATTTGTTATCAATAGTTTAGCTTTATTTCCATCTTTCAGAGAGTTCAAGGATGTCGTCTAGCTAGTCAAAGTCCAACAATTGACTTTTTTTTCATCAGATCCGGATACAACAACAACAACAACAAACCCAGTATAATCCCACAGGTAGGGTTTGGGGAGGGTAGTGTATACACAAACCTTACCCCTTCCTGGATAGGTAGAGAGGCTGTTTCCGATAGACCCTCGGCTCAGGAAAAGGTGGCAAGGAAGAATGATGGATGGCAAGATCCGGATAGTTGATATGTAATACCTCAGACATGCTAGTTCTAAACATTAGTATACAAAGATGGATGCAAGGAGTACCAAATAGATCTATACTGTTGGGTACATGCTGATTCTTAGAGTAGCTAGTCGGTCTTCCTTTAGGTGTTTCCATTTTCACTAACTCTGGTACTGCTCATGGACCTTTGAACCTTTTCTTTCTTATCAGCCTTCTTCCAATGTTGATTATTAAGAAGTGATTTTTCATCTTTATCATGCCTCTGCCTTTCATGATAGTTTTGCTGGATTTGTAGGTTCATCAAGTTAGGCTCCCTGAAAAAGAGGCTAGACGATACTTCCAGCAACTCATAGATGCAGTTGCTCACTGTCATAGTAAGGGTGTATATCATCGGGATCTGAAGGTCGGCAATTGCTATGTGGGGAATTTGTTGTGGGGATATCCAGTTTTAGCATTAACCATTAACATTTGTTGTTTTTTCCTTGTTCTGTAGCCCGAAAATCTTCTTCTTGATTGCCAAGATAACCTGAAAGTTTCCGATTTTGGACTTAGTGCATTCCCTCAACAAGTAAGTAGAATCTCATTTTTTAGTTGCATTATATTGGCAAAGCATATTATTGTTTTCTTTATTTTCTTTTCGAAAATGAAAGCTTCTAAAAGGGAACTTTATCAAAATTTCAATCAGGGAGTTGACCTCCTTCATACCACTTGTGGGACTCCAAACTACATTGCACCCGAGGTTCGATGTTTATCTATTTTGAATTCTTTAAATCCTTTGTGACAATATGATGATTGTTGCTTCCTATTTGGGATACCCAAAAGATGATTCCTCGTTTAATTGGCCTGCTAGCCTCAATAATACTCTTCTCATCTCAAATTATTTAAATTTTAAATTGATTGGTTTATCTCATGCTAAATTTACTACTGCGTAGAGATATGATGTCATTCCAGCTTTAATGATGCCATGCGATAATGCTGTCATTATGTATTGCTTTAACCTTAAGTTTGAGAATAGTATGCTTGCTGAACAAACATTTTCAGCTTCCTTATGAGAAACTGACGGGATTTGTTAGCATAATTTCCTATGTACTTGTTGCTTTTCACATTCTTTTAGTCCTTTACTGAAACCTAGTCAGTCTGTCAATGCTTACTGTTGAATGATAGAGAATTTCCAAGAAGATATTCTCCATATCAAGATTTGATCCTCTAAGATTTGTCCATATCAAGTTTTGATTCTCTAAGATCTTTCCATATCAAATTTTGATTCTTTGTTTTATTTTATTTTGTATAATCCCAGATTTTATGGGATTTTGTTTCTAACCTCTTCTTGTATATAAAGCCATGTATATGACATTCAAAAATATGAATGAAATTATTCAAGTTTCTTACTCTTTCCACATGGTATCAGAGCCTTAGGCTTATTACTGACATATTTTTTTCATTCATCCATCTTTTCATCACATTTGTCCTCTTTATTCCGCCCAAGAGTTGAAACCATTTGAAAACCATGTCCGAAGAGAGTACTATTGCGAATACTACTGGAGATTTACAAAATATTCAAGCCTCTTATCGGTTGAATGAGAAAAATTATCTAAAATGGTCTCAGCTTGTTCGTACCTTTCTAAAAGGTAAAGGGAAATTAGGACATCTCCTCGGTACAGGACCATCCAAAGAAGACCCCAAGTTTGATGCATGGGATGAACATGATTCAATGGTGATGTCATGGTTATGGAACTCCATGCTTCCAGAAATTAGTGATACTGTTATGTTTCTGAATACTGCTAAGGAAATTTGGGATGCAGTAAAGGAGACATACTCTAAAGTTCATGATGCTGCCAGGATCTATGAAATAAAAACAAAATTATCTGCAACAAAACAGGTTAACAGGGAGCTCGATCTGTCACTGAATATTCTAACCTTTTACAGGGGTTATGGCAAGAGATGGATCACTATCAATGCATTCAAATGCGTTGCACAGACGATGCTGTAATTTTAAAAAGATTTATTGAAAAAGAAAGGATTTATGATTTTCTTGCAGGGCTAAATGCAGAGTTTGATGCTATACGAGTACAAATTTTAGGGAAAGAAGATCTGCCATCATTGAATAAGACAATGGCCATTATACGGACAGAGGAAGGACGGAGGAGTGTTATGCTTGAAACTCAAATAAATGAAGGATCAACTCTTATGACAAAAGGGACAAATAAAAAGGAATCTGGAGTTTCACAATTGGAGAGCACCATCAAGCCCGCAAGTTCATTCAAACCGATTGTCAACAGGGACAATCTTTACTGCACTTACTGCAAAAAGTACCGGCACACGAGAGAGATGTTGGAAACTCAATGGTAAACCTCCAACCAAAAATACTTTTGATGGAACGCAGACACACATTGCTAGCAGCCCTCAGGTTGATAAAAAAAGTACATTAGTCCCAGAATTCAACAAAGAAGATATTGAGAAATTGAAGACATTGCTGGAATCTCTGGAGATATCATCTTCGGCAGGTAGTTGTTCAATGGNATTTTGATGGAACACAGGCACACATTGCTAGCAGCCCTCAGGTTGATAAAAAAAGTCTATTAGTTCCAGAATTCAACAAAGAAGATATGTGAGAAATTGAAAACATTGCTGGAATCTCTGGAGATATCATCTTCGGCAGGTAGTTGTTCAATGGCCTTTGCAGGT